TTAATTAGTAACAACTGATGAATCCGAAGGCTACGAACATGTGACAAGATTTTGTAATAGTGTAGTTACAACAGTACAGTACATTTGCAACCTCAGAATTTTGTTATTTGTGCCACACACAAATGCCAACGATCATTATTTTCCTCCATACAATAATTATTTGGTTTTGTCTGGTTTTATTCTCATTAAACAATATACCACACTTGGCAAAAGTATACACAATACACAATGCAAAACCACAGTTATTACTTTGAAACAATACTTTGGTCCATTGTGTCATCTTCATTTGTTTAGTGTTTGCCATCTTTCTTTCATAAAAAACTGCCAGTCCGCTTCCAAACACTGCCCATGTATCATCACCTTCGCACTCAGCCTCACACCCTTTCTGGCCCATCTCCCGTCTTTGTTGTGTGTGGTTGTCTGGATGAGGCAGAGGGGGGAAGACCAGCAGTCAGACCACTGCATATGTTTCCAATTCCCCCCTCAGCAGACCTTCCCTCTCCTCTCTTGGCCTCCGCGTGCCCTCCCATCGCTCCTTTCCTCTCCTCTGTGTGTGTCTTTCTCTCTCCATGTCCACCAAATTGCCCATTATACTTTCTATTTGTCTATCTGCTGGCCTGCCTGCCTGTGGCGTGGCAGTCAGCTAAAACAATCCTCCAATCTGTGCCAATTACATCATGGGAGACCACTTCTAACATTGTATTACACATAGCTGCTAGAAGCCAACTTCTAACACACAGGCACAGAAATGCGTGCTTAAGAAACTATTTATTGTGATCATGTAACAAACATATGCTCCATTGCATTTTAGTAGCATCCAGAAGGTTGCATCTCAATGACAGAAAAACACCCTTTCTGTTAAAAGGATACTACTCATTTGTGTTTATGTTTGATGAAAACATGTTAATGGGTTTAGCTGATTGGTACAAAGCTGTTTTATTTTTGTGGGCAATAAAGCTACCCTCTGTCCTGTTTTTGGTTTATATGTCCATCATTTAGCTGAGTAAACTATAAAAACATAGTTTATTAGAGGATGACATTACATCTGGTTTTACCATTATGGAATCTATATGTTCTAAATATGTTCTCACTCCTTTTTTGCTTTTATGAGATAAAAGTAAAAAGTCTTCTGTTCCAAGAAAAACTGAGTGATCAACCTCACACATTTCCAGTCCCAGACAGTGACCAAGAGAAGTCGAACGATGTGGTCAAATGCTGAGCTTAACATCGTTGTTGCATTCTGTAATAAAGAAAGGAAACCTTCAAAACCAAAGGCCCACTGAGGGGAATTATTAATATCCTGTCAGCAGTAAATTAGCTGTACGTTTACATGTCCTTGCTCCTTTTCTTTGTTTTGTCTAAGTAGATCTTCTGTCACCACATCACCGACATCATGGTAATAAAACTGCAGACAGAACTGGAGAACGAATGGAGCACATTTATAGAACGTATACAATACAGTGTGTTTGATTTGGGGAAGGGTGAGTTATAGGCGGATCCAGGATGTGTTTGTATGTACTGCATCTATATGTTTGGGAAATGTGCCAAGGAAGCAAATAGACCATACTCAAAACCCATGGCTGACATGACACACCAAGAGACAGAAGCTGTGACTGCTGGTGCCAACGAAAATAATTTCAGAGGAAGATGAATGAACACGGTGCCAATCTATGTCTGTGCCTACAGTGTGAAGCTGCCGTGCCACACACAGTGAAAGGATCCTCTTGACAGTCATGGTGTGGTCTCTCCGATGACAGGGGTGTTTTCCTGACTGTAGAGACTGTAATACAAAGTCATTAGAGACAGTCTCCAGTAGGTCACAGTTTAGTCTGTAGTGGCCTTAGAAGAGACAGAGTGGGAGTGAGTGCACAAAGAGGAAGAATTAAAACTGGAAGGAAGTTGCAATACATTTCCCTCTTCATGGTGCATCATGTTCTTCTTGATGCAATGGTGGATAAGGTACTTAGATCCTTTACTTAAAGCAACCCTAAACAATATCCTTTTATAACAATAGATCGAATTGCTTTGTCTAACGGGCAAGGTGTCCTTTTAGTGACAAAAGATAATTACCACTAGACTAAAGTGTCACGGCTCTGCTGCCATCAACTGAATTTCTATTTGGTTTTAGAAAAACACTTTCTGCTTAGCAGCAAAGGGCAGAGAGAGACAAAGTTAGCAACACGTTGATAAAGAAGGTAAAACAACCGGCAAGCTAAAGACAGGGATCTTTCCCTCAGTAGTTGGTGGGGATCATAACTAACTATTGTTGTTGTATAGCCAGAACTGATATCCAAATATGTCTGCTGAATGAGTAAACAGACAATTATTTGCTAAAATGTCTACCATAACAAATTGAAAATAGTTTTATCTGGTGTTGCTGCCCTCATGTGGCTGAACAAACAAATAATGCACTTTAATGCACTTTGACGTAAAAGTAGTCTATGTATGAAAAGATGAAAAAACAACTATTTTTATTTAAAACGTTTGAATTAACAATGAATTAAACAACTATGAATAATGAGAAGTATGTGTTATTTGATTTTTCTTCCTTCTTCTTCTGCTTTAAGATGAGCTCATTTTAACTATGATGGACTAGGTGAATGTACTTTATAACAATGCATAATACTTTAGAAACTTACAGTATAACTATCAATAAGTTTATGTAGTTGAGTAAAAGGTACTATATTAACATACTCTGAAATGTTTTGGAGTAGAAGTATAAAGTAGCAGAAAATTAAACACTCAAGTAAAATAAAGTATAAGGTAATTAGATCATTACTAACTGGAAAAATACAAGTGATATTGACATTTGATTAGCATTTGAAGAAGTAAAAGTTGGAATTAATCTTCTAGTCCATGCAAACTTTAACAGCAAATAGTAGTTTTATTTCCCTGGAAGTGGATCAGACCACATTATGCTCTAACTGTCCAACTTGGTTAAAGAATTGCGACACATTGGAAGCCATGAGACTGAGGAAGTTTACTCTGCATGAGTGCCATCCCTCAGTGTGCTGTAGGCTCCTGCTGAAGTCTGCAGATCTCGCTCGCCGCCTTGTTAACCCAGAATATCCTAATGACTTCCTCTTGCTGCCGAGCCACACTGTGAAGTCATCCATGTTTCCATGTAGCCTTAAGTGAGGAGAAGAGAGGAGAGGAAAGGAAACTAGACAGGATGGAGGACAACTAGTAGCGCTAATGAGGATTTATGCCATCGGAGCGATGGCATAAATCCTCTTTAGAATAAACAGCATCTGAGTGACTGTCCACCAATGAACATAAAACTCTTAACAACTTTTACATCCTGCTCCACTCAGCTTTAATGTTTCCCAATGTTCTGCCCTAGGCTTTAATTTCTCCTGACTGCTTCAAATGTGGAAAAACAGTTAATAACTGATTAGATGTCTTTATTGCCTTTACATTGAGGCTAATACAAAAAAGGAGACAGTGAAAAGGGGAATGTACCAAAGTAGACTCAGCCGGCCACGGAAATGTTAGTTGGGTTTTATCGATGTTTTACATCAATGTCAGCTCGTGAACATTGTTGTTGAAGTAACCTTACATATTGTTTGGATGATTCAGGGTTTAGTAGCAGGGCAATAACAAATGTTGAAGTTGGATTTCAATATATAAGGATAGTATACTTTCAAAAAAGATTGTATTCATTATCTATCATTATCTTTATGTGTTATCATTCTAATGGTATGATCAGACAACCAATCTGTTCATCTTTTGTATATGTTTACCTTTATTATTTTGGAGTTACCTATGCAAACACTATACAGTCTGTTCAGATGGCTGGAGCTTTCAGTGCGGCAATTAGTTGTCGCCATCTTGTGGTTGAATAAAACAGTCACTAACTCAATTCTTTATGTACATTATTTATGAATGACGAAAGTGTGAGCAGGTTTACAAACACACAGTGGTGTAAAGTAACTAATTTGCTACTCTGCTCTTCTACTCCACTACAATTCAGAGGTTAATGTTGTACTTTTACTCCACTACATTTATTTAATACCTTTAGTAACTTTGAAGATTTGGATTGCGACCTGAAATATATGCAAGACTTAAATAAGACTTTAGTTACACCTGGAGTAAATTCACAAGATACTCTGCAGTTAAAATAGCTGAACCTTTACCAGCTTTGATAACACATTAATGCATCAATAATTATATTCAAAACATAACATATATATTATTCTGAAAAGGACCAATCTGCATAATGAGTATTTTTACTTTTGGTACTTTAAGTATACTTTGATACTAATACTTTTTTACTTGAGTAACATTTTGATTGCAGGACTTTTACTCGTAAGAGAGTATTTCTACACTTGTGTACTAGGATCTGAGTAATTTTTCCACCTCTACAAACACACAAACAAATGCTCAAATGCATCAAGACACACAAGATGCATTTTCAAAATAAAGAATATACTCTCAATTATTATCAAGCATGTCTCTATCCCCCGAATCCCCACACAAACAGTAAAATAATGTCCTTTGGCTAAAATCATGTAATAATTGGTCAGTTATTAGCCAATTTAAAAATGATCAGGCATAATACGTATTCTATTGAAATGTTTTACAATTCTGGAATAAATCAGCTGGGAGTATCCTATATTGTCTATAGAATCAATTTTAATTTCATATTTGGCAGCAATAATTCATTTATAAACGGGTTTTGAATACTGGACTACTTGTAATGTAGGCAATGTCTTTTTTTGTTGATTAATTTTAACATGTAAGTCTATAGCACTACACTTATACAATGTAATGAGATGAGAGTAAAAGCACTTTAACCTACTTAATTGTATTGTGTTTTGCTGTGGCGCCCCCTTTCGGTTCGACGTTGTTAGTTTAACCTATCTAGTTTACTATACTGCAATATCATTGGTTCAAATAGTCAACGTCGTTTCTTTGCATACAGGCTCCTCCCTTTTTGTCTAAACCACTCCTTCACACACGCGCGCGCACACACAAACACACACACACACACACACACACACACACACACACACACACACACACACACACACACTAACCCCCTGTGATGCCAACCCTCCATGGCTGGGCTGAACGGCATGTCTGTCGAGGCGGTATAATCTAAAAGCAAACCGGGACATTATGGAGCAGACGGTGTGTTGACGGAGATGCGACGGTGCATGAAAAAGGTGATTACATTTGCACATCTGATAACAATGCATGTGTCTTGCGGTTAGCTGATGTTGCTAACTCACTCCTCCGTGTGACCGGAGTATCGATACATCGCTGCACGTTATCATTCATTCTCCTTCCCAAAATAATCCGATGGTGCCTGTCGTTACGTTTGTTTTTAAGACAGTTGGCCTCCGCGGCGGGATGAAGTATGATCGGCGATAAACACGCAGAAGAACACCGAGAGAGACATTTAAGTCAACTTAATCCATCTGGACATCGGGGGGGAAGATAAGGACCGTGATGGCTTCGATGAAAACAGCATTATTCGTGTTTCTACACTGGGGTGAGTTCAGTCTGCGTTGCACATGATTTCTCTCTGAACACAATGACTAAAACCGCCTCGCCATCTGTCACGTGGAGATGCATTTGTATGATTGTTGCAGACCAATCAGACTATTCATTTAGATATTATTTGCAGCACGTAGCTTTATTCTTATGATATGGCCCTAATTTTTTCATATATGGAGCACTTTTTCAAATTGTTGTGGTCTGCAAGTTTATGACCTACAATGCAAATATACAAGTGACAGATAGGACAGACCAATATCAAGCAAACATCACCTACAGGCTATTTGATGTATGTTTTATTTTTTTTTAAAAACATACAATTAGTTTCTGGTGACATCCAGGAAATCCCAAGTAAAAGTATTCAAATCAGCTGGGCTCTCTGATAATATTTGTTAACTACTGTATTTACACAAAGGTTAACTTTATCGTTGTTTTATGGCACTGATCTCCACAGTACAGATAGGTTTATTTTTGTTTGATCTCATCAGTGTGTTTCTTATTTTTCACAAGGTATATTTGGCAATGGGGTCTTCAAAGTTCAGCTACACTTAGTAAACATGAAGAAGATTTTTGACTTAAGGATAGTCCTTAGAATATACTGCTACATAATCAAATAAATCCAAGGTGCTTCAGAGCCTATATACAACTTTATTTTAGGCTGTGAATAGAACACACCACCCAACCAGACAGCAACAGATACATCTGACATGTATTAATATATCTGCCAACAGAACTACTCCTGTTTGTACTTAACATTTGATATATTTCTTTATCGCTTGACCATACACGTTAGACATAAGGAAAACATGTCGGATTGAATGCGACGGTATACATATTAATATAAAGACAATTTAATAACCAAAGGGTCATTTGTCACTCCTCTGGTACAACATGGATGTCTTTGTGGGGTCTTGATAGGGCAGTTGGGGCTCCCTCATGTTGCACAGGGTCCAGAGAGTATTCAGCATCATCAGCCATGGTGTGTCCCCCAACCCTATCAGTCCGAGCCCAATGTTAATTAGGGCTTGATCCGCTTAAGCCTCCCTCTAGTCTCCCATGTCATTATCTATGGGTGTGTTGTTATCAGGCCATGGCTCAGCCTGTGAGAAAGCTCCAGTTGTTTTTAGGTGTGACACACGCAGACAGGCCATGAGAGCCAAAACGCACCCATCTAGTATTTCTAGTTGTTCAGGTAGTTTAATCAGCTCTAGATGAGAGTTTAAGGTGTGTTAGTTTGAGATTATCCTTTGTTCATTGTCAGTTAGTGGGTGTATATTTGTTGACAGTTTTACTTGTTGACTTATTTGCATTTGGAAATGAGGAGTTTTTCTCAGCTTCTGCCCCCACTTGTGAATTTAAATCATTTGGTAGTCCTTTAAAATGTGTACCGATTATATAAAAGTATTTTTTTTCTTCCCACCATATGGATCAACTTATTATGAAGATGAGCTATCTGACCCTCGACTGGCTATCCACTTTAATAAATAAATAGCTTAACTTTTTCTGAGCTATTTGGATTATTTCTTTTATTACATTCACATTTAGATAGTAATACAAACATCACAATCAAGTCTGTATAACCATTTGATTGTTCCTCTGAGCTTCCTTCTCTCAAAAGAGGAATTACTATATGTCATTGCCCTTATCGTGACAGAATAGTAATGCTAGGAGAAGTTTCAGTGCCTGTGGCTTAAAGACAGTTTCTGTATTTAAATAGCAGCTCGGTCTGAGCCTATAACTATTTCAACGGGGTTCCAGGGGAAGTTGGGTATGCAGCCAGACAATGAGACTCAGTGAAATACAATCACGCTTGAACCTGGAAGCATGAAACCCCCGAGGCCCTCGCACTGAATATTTCTTCTCTTAAACCAGAACTGTGAAAAACCTCCCATGTTACCAAGTCTCTCTTAAACAGTTAGGTGACAGAGATAGTTTTATTTTTCCCTTTTGGCCCTAGTGACATCTTTTGACAGTTTCAGTGTGATTTAAAGTTTGGAAATGTCTAACTCATTCCAAAGCACTGCACTCAATGACCTGTTTTTGCTTCTTTGAGCACTGAAAAATGTCATTTGTGTTGCTAAGTAGTATTTGTTGATATTTTTTAAACAACTCAATGGGTTGTTTGAGAATGTATGTAGTAGACATTTTAATTGATTGAAAATAACTGTTTGCAAAACTGTAAATGCCACTTTTCACTGTATTGGAGTATTTTACAGGCAGCTATGGTGTTTTTCTCCTAAGCTATTTGTATTGATTCCCTGTTAGTCAGTCATCAGCTCAGGATATTGATCAGTACCAACCATGCTACGAGGCCAGAATGTGACCCACAGGAAATGACATTATTGCAGTTTCCAATCTTTGCTATCCATTCATCACAGTGTTTCACTCTCTTGCTGTCTCTCCATTTGTCTTTCACAGTGCTCCAGTGCGCTGTGTGTCGCGACGTATCTGTTCCTCCTGGGACCCTCTACCGTGTTGCAGGGTTCCCCCTCTCCCTGCCCTGTGCTGTGTCAGGATTTGAAGGGCCACGCACGCAGGACTTTGAGTGGTTCCTGTACAGAGATGATGCTGGTGGCAGGCAGATGGGAGTGGTGTCTACCAGGGACAAGGGCTTCCCTTACGCCCCATTTCAGCCTCGGGTGAAGAATGGGGAGGTGAGGGTGGAGAGGGACTCGGGGGACAAAGTCCGACTGGTGATCCAGAGACTTCGAGCTGAAGACCAGGGGAAGTACGAGTGCTACACACCCAGCACGGACAGCACCTACCAGGGGAACTACAGCGCCTCAGTGCCTGTCAAAGGTCAGTCATATGTTTGTAATGTATTTTAAATAGTTATTTACAACATTATATCTGAGTGGTTGTTGAATTATATCTAATTGTTTCTAATTTTGCCAAAATGTATCACTCATGTTCCAATCGTGTTGTTTAATGTCTAAGAACAGGCTTAACCTTTGTTCATTGAAAAACAATTATTTAGTTGTGACATAGTTTGAACTATAATTGTGATTTCCAGTTCTGTCATGGGGGAAAGAAAACATCAACAACTCTGCACTACATCAGCCAGATGGATGACATTTATTAATCATACTATGTGTTTACTCAGTACATGACGACATTCCTCGTGTCTAAGCTGTTATTTACACTTGCCGTCTGGAGTTTTCCTGCTCAAGCTATCAATAACATTTTGCCCTTTCCCTATCCCATCAGCATAATTACCTATCCTGTTTCTTATAATTGTCTTCTCTGTGAACCACTAAGTTTATATTTGTAGTTAACTTTATGTTACTTTTGCAGCTTCATTATAGTTTGTTTATTACCCTCTCTTTGGCAAAGCTGGAGCCCACCTCTGATTGTGGTAAACATCTTGCAGTAACTCTCAGCTACCTCATTTCATTATATGCTTTAGTGTTCTAAACATAGACGTGTAGACATGTCTAAACAGCACACAGGCAATAGAAACTCAATTTGGCATCTTGTTTTCCTCCTGCCTGGCTACTGTAGCCTCTTGATGTAATTGTCTGTCTGTGTCTCTTTTATACACCTGCAGTGATCCCTGACACACTCCAGGTCAGCTACACCCGCTCCCTCACCGGCCAGCCCGTGCCCGAGGGGGCCGAGTTAACTCTGACATGCTCAGGCGGCATCCAATCGGAGCAGCTCACCCAGCTATCCATCACGTTTGGGAAGCGCAATAATGGAGAGGGCTCGGGAGCCGAAGGTGGAGGGGAGGTCAGCAACATAAGGGAGATTATCTCCATCGACAAGCTGCTGGGGGTCGTCCCTGGACGTATGTACAAGAAGCGGTACGACGATGGAGAGATCACGCTGGAGAAGAGGAACAAGGAAGGGGGACTGGGCGAGTACGTGATGAAGATGAGGGCCGTGCAGCCAGACGACACCGGCTCCTATTTCTGTGAGTCCACGCAGTGGATCCGGGACCCCGATCGATCCTGGCAGAAGATCGCACAGAGGACGCTGGATATTGGCAACTTGACCGTTCAGCAACTAGGTCAGTGAGAAACTTTGCCAGTATTTGTGCTGACATTTGCTAAACTTAGTACAGAGTGTTGCAAGTGTCATGGTCACACTACAACATGCATGTTGCACAATTATTTGTGTTCACTCAACATTGTGAACAACATACATTTGAAAGATTAAGTCAGCGAAAACATCTTCAAAGGAAAGAAGTGGCCACTTTGGTTGCTATATGATAATATCAGCAAAATGGCTAAGGTTTGGTTTCTACTTGGTGACGTCAATCGGCTGGACTTTCAGCGTTGTTGAGTACATTGGAGTCTTTCCAGATTTCAGACTGAAGCCCTAAATGTGTGTGTTACTTACAGCTTAACTGAATGTCTAGCGAGCAGTCTACTAATTAATACTGGGCTAATTAAACACGTAACTGGATACAGTTAATCCGCTTGTTGGGCTTTCTGATTAGATGCACGGATTGCTGGATTTTTCCTTCCCTGCTAGGTGGATGGATGGACATCTTACTATCAGAGCTACTATTGTTTTATTGATTGATCTGCAGATCATTTTCTTCATTAATCAGTTATTCCTTTGGTCTATGAAACCATGAAAAATGCCCATCACAATATCTCAGTTCCAGAGGTGACTTTATCAAATCTCTTGTTTTACTGTTCTATAATATTTGCACAGGGTGTACATTTAAAAGTTTAATACCGATATTATACCAATTATCTGGACAACAATAATATATACTGGGTGATATTATAAAGTCTGCCACTGGACCATTTCTACTTCATTCTATTCATGGGCCTGCGATCAATATGAGAACATTTTATACTCCCATTTTATACAATCGGTTAAATGAATGTCTACTAACAGAACACAATTAAATATGATTTGACAATTTTATTACTGAGCTCTAGACATCGAGACGTTTTACTTTGCATTGATGATATTGGATTGTTGATCGTTGAATTGATATAGAAATCGTCGTCAATGGAGCGCTACACCCCTATTATTTACTATTAGGTGAGACAAGCAGCAAACTCTCCCATGAGAAAACCTGAAACTATCAAAGTGTATTGACTATGTGTTCAGGCTGTCAGAGCGCCTGACTGACGCTGAACTCTGCTGATTATCCAGCTGGATTTTAGAGGTCGATATCTGGCTGGCCGGCAGCTCAATAACTGCCTGCTACCTCGCCGCTTGGCTCAATTTAAATTCTAAAGAGCTTGTGTAGATCTGAAGGATTAAGTAATCTTTCCTCCCACCTTGGCCCCTTGTAGCCCACAAAGAGGATGACTATCTCTCTGGCCAACTGATGTGTCCATTACCGTCAGAGCTGCTCCCTCCATATTTTAACATCTCGGATATGAAAGTTAACCCGATATATACATAGAATATTTATACTGGAAAAAACTTTAAAGTTTAATACTGATTTTGTATTCCTGTTGAGATTCACAAAAACTTCTTTGTAATATGTGGGGCTTACATTTATTTAGGTCAAATGTTTTTCTCTTCAGCATTACAATTGAACTCGCTTTAATGCATGCATTGTTTTTCTGTCAATTTCTGACAAGCACTATTACGATCTGTATTCGTCTGGCCCCTGCTGTCTGACTCATACAATAGCCTGACCCAGTCTCCCTTTTGTTTTGTTAAATAATGTGTCCATTATATGTTGAGTAGATCTTTTGTTAGGGGAAGTGTTATGTGCTTCCCTTACATAATGGACCAGTGTGTACTTATAAAATGAAAAAAAAAAAATACCCATACACTGTCATTTTATAAACATGCAAGTCTAATTAGAAAACGACAGGACAAGTTCAAGAAAATCAATACTGTGTGTATAATACATTTATTACAACCAGAGAGCGTGCATGTCTGTTTCTACTGTATTTGTAGTTAGTTCTTGATAATTGCTTAAGATGGAAGAGCTTCAGGTTATGAAAAACTTTCAAACATAATGAATCATTTTTAGTGGTCTGAATTTTCTACAACGTATAAGACAAAAGAACAAAAATTAAAGGAAAGTCTTAAGAAAATACCATTATTATTTGAAGCAGAAATGTGTTTCCTGCTGTTCGATTTAATTAAAATAATAAAATATCCAAAAGAGCCCTCAGATTTCACTTTTTGGGAGAGTCAATGATCCAATTCAATAAATACAAAATCTATAATTTTCCTAATTACTTTTCTCTTGTGTTCCATTTAGTTTTATGCTGTAATAATCACTTTCTAGTGTTTGCTTTCTGGTTGGGATGGTTATCCATTTGATCCTAAACATTAAATATGTAATGTACCAGAGAGGCCACCCTAGCTTTCCCACAAAGATGTTTACTGTCACAGTCTAATGGCCTGTTTGAGGCCCCCCCACTGCAGAGGATTTCCTTTCACTTTTAATAAGCTATCTCCCTCTGCCTCTTCCTTTCCCCAGCGGAGTCTCTGAGTATAACGTCCTCTCCCCGAGGGGAGGTGACCCTGCAGGTGGGGGCTCCTCTCATCCTGACCTGTGAGGTGTTAGGGCTGCCGGCGGAGGTAAACTCAGGGCTGCTGGTTCAGTGGATGAGATCAGTCAGCAGCGATGGAGCTAGGAGCGGGGGGGTCGAGGTAAAGACTCTCATTCTGCTCACTTGCTTTGTTGCTTTGCACCTTAAAGTATACCTTATTCTTTCAAGTATGTAAGTGAATATATGAGAACAAACAGGTCAGCAAGAGGGAAATATTTGACATCAAAATTGTTATCACATGCCATATTAGTATTTGCATTAAAGTCCATTTACAACAATAAGAAAAGCATATACTTTAAAATGCGTATGTTTGAATATGTTTGAGAGTCAGTTTTTATAGAATTGTAAAGTTCCTGCTTACACAGACTGAAATATTTATTAAATGATAATTGTCAGTTAAATTATTACTGGAGTGAATGGGCAATCCATCACAGTCATAAAGTCTAATTTATTTTCATCCAAAGTTACTACTGGATTTGAAAGGTTTTCCGGTGGGGTGCGTTCAAGTGCTGCAGGCAAAGTTCTGATGAATGACACTTGAGAGTTGGCTTTGAAAAAGCAGCAGCAGTCCAAAAGGGACATTATAATTTTAAAGACGTTTGCGTTTTATCAATATCATCAACCTTGCATGCCTTAGGGAACAGTCTGCACTAATTAAAAAATATTTAAAGTTTCTGGTTAATCGCCAAAAATGTAATTTAATTTATAATCTGACACATACTGACACATTGTATTTAACGTTAAGGTGGAGGTGGCCCGCATGAGCCCGGACGGTGTTGTGAGCTGGGGAGACAACCTCAGCCGAGCGAGTGGGGGCTCCATGGAGAAAGTGGCGGGGGGGAGATACACTCTGAAGCTGTTCTCAGGCCAGCCTTTAGACTCTGGGGTGTACCGGTGTGTGGTGAGTGTGTACGCCGGGAGAGCCAACCCTGACCCGTCTACTCCGGTAACACTCACCCAGAGGTCTGAGGGGGTCACCGTCAACCTCAAAAGCAAAGGTGAGAGCGCGGCATGCATCTTCAGTGACACGAGGGCTTCATCTGAACACTTTTGAATACATTTTCTGTTCAACGACTTCTGTTTTGGATTTTGTTATGAAATTATTTAAAAATTGTAATTCATGGGGCCCGTGTTGTTTGCCATTAGGCTTTGTTGGGCTGAGTTCAAGTCTGCAACAGGACCTCTGATACTTGTGACACTAGTCCCACCTACAGCTTTACAAATCTGTCTTAAAATCATTAAACTTTGTATTTTCTGATTAATGGTTTTAATGAAAAACAATCTGTGTATAATAAGTTAGTATAGTATGCTATAGTAGTTGCTTCCTTTCACATTTTCAGAAACTTCTAAAATGCTGATAAACTTGGGTTAACTAAGATCACATTGTTAAGTAGATGATTGCTACCATTTGATTGATCACACAATATTCATTCAGTTTTGTTTTGGCAGTCACATGTGTTAAGTCTACCCTCTACCCCCTATATCTATTCTTTGACTGTACCATTTCCTTCCAGATGTGCTGGTTGCAGCTGTGGCTCAGCTCCTTCGAGGCCCTCTGCTAAAACGAGGCAACACCATCACCCTGATCTGCAACATCACCGTGACGACCACAGGTCCCGCCCAGGCGCAGGTGCAGTGGCTGCGGTGGCCAATCCCTCCTCGAGTTATCAAGAGGGAGGAGAGCCCGGCCTCTGCTGTTACTGTACCGGACCCCCCTGTGGAGGAGGGGTCCAGCCTGGTAGCCGCCCTCATGTACGACGGTGTTGCAAAGATCTACGTCAACACTAGCGACGTTAGCATTGACCGCCTGTCCGCTGGTAGCTACAGGCTGAGGGTCCACTCAGCTACCATGGATGATCAGGGCATGTATGCGTGTCATGCCCAGGCGTGGGGTCAGGACCCCCATGGAGGCTGGTACAACACAGGGGCCAGAGCAGAGTCCAATGCAGTGACCGTCTACATGTATTCCAGAGGTAAGAGTGTCCTAGGGGTTGGATTTTTAATAATCCCTGTGTTCGTGGATAAATGTGAAGGATTACCAACAGTTCCAGTTTATTCTTTTATATTGGTGCTAATAAAACAATCATCATCAGTAATGTTGATATAAGGACTGAAGTTCAGAAAATGAAATCACTTTACTGTAAGGCAGCCTTTAAAACCAGGAAACACTTCCCCTGATCCAATCTGGTGGTAGTGTAACACTGACAGTACCAAGAGACATAATTAGAACTTTTATTTATAATACTTTATCTACATTTGCTATTATTGAATTTTGGAGCATGGGTTTTACTTTAAATGCAGGATTGCTATACTGTAGTATTACTACTTCTACTCAAGTTAGTGTTTGAAAACTTCCAGCTCCATTGACCTTCCGTCACAAGCTGGAGGGTGGCCTGTGTAAATGTTGAGTCAATTTCAAACATTTACTCTTAACCTTGAGAAATGTCTACATTTTGAGTGAGATTTATTCTTCTCTATAATTCCCTAGCAATAGCAGGGCATAGTTCCCCTCTACTTGCATATTCAATATTTGTATATGCACTTTATGTCACTTGTTCCTGTCCCATTTAGCAGTTTTTTTATTCTGTGGGATTCTGAACGGGTGGACCAAAACGACCTAGGGCTGCAATTAACTAGCTTGTCTTTCAAAGTCATTTGATACAAGTACTTCCTTGATGACCATTTCTTTAAAAAAGGAACCCGGTGAAAAGTACTTGTTATGACTTTACAGAGCCCAAGGGGACGTTTACATTTTGTTGTCAAACTAACATCCAAAGATATTCAAATTAAACTAAAGCTGCGCCCTCTTAACAAAAAGTCAGTTAGATTTTCAGTTAGATTTTTTATCGCCGGTCAACATGTCCGTTAAAGTTTAAATCTTCCGGACAAAATTAGAAAAGTGCCGGTCAAAGGTCTTATTTGTTATGTATTGAGCTTTAAAACAAATGAATAATGACTATATAATCATATAAGAATAAAACACGGAGGACGGAGATCTCTTTTTCTCCCCCTCTTCTGACAGCCCAGCAGCTGATCTCAAAGCATGCTTCCCTCTCCTGCAGGGGGGCGTGGTCAGCTACGGCTCATTTGCATTAAAGCTACCCTGCAAAAACAGGGCTGGAAAAGAGCAAATAGAGCGAAATGAGGCATGGCTAAAATGCAGGATCTGTTTGGTATTTTGAAAAAAACCCTATATTTATATACTTTATATTAGGTATGGCCCTACAATATATTGTTCAAATATAGCATGATAGGTCCACTTTAAACTGTGATTTCTGTATTAGATCGTTCCTTTTACTGTCCTTTTTTCTGTAGAGGAAGAAAATAGCCGTAACTCAGGATTTATTTGTTGTTTGATGTGCAATATTTGACTCGGCAGCTTGAAGGCATTAAGAAACTATTGTTTTGCGCTTCGCTCCAATGCATTATTTTCTCCGGAAAGCGGGCGGGGCCGTATTTTTGTCCGGAAGTGACGTTAGGCCCTCATACTATATTTTTCTAGAAGAATCCCTGAATATGATGTTGTTCAGTTCAGCTTCAGATTGTTTAAGACCTGTTTCAAGTCAAGTTTTAAGTATCAATGTATTTGAGCATTTGTAACATATCTCTAACGGAGTGGACTCGAGTCCAAATATTTACGGTCAAAATACCCATGGTGTATTTATATGTATTAAATATTTACAGATGCAGAACAGAGATATGTTGAGCACAGTGATCATGTTTACACTGATCATGTGTTGGCCCTTGTAGCAGAGTTAGTTGTGTACTTTCTCTCTGTTCTGGGCGTGGGTCTAGATCCAGTTTCAGTCTCCACATTACTGAATCTCCAGCTCAAACCGTGCTTTTGATTTTTCCATTCACTTGCTTTTTCAAAAATAGTTGTGGTGCCTAAAGGTGAAAATAACATTTTATTTGGCAAAACTAAAATATTTTTCTATGTGATTATACAGGAGTACGTTTTCCCTTCTGAAATGAGGTTTTAACACTTTAACAAATGTCACTTTACATTACAACATCCTTCTCTTCTCTCTTACCCTCCCCCAGCTGAAGACCTCCTGCTCATCCCTCTGGTGGTCGGAGTCTCTTCGGCCTTGTTTGTGGGCATCCTCATCATCTCAACAGTGACCTGTTGCTTCATGAAGCGGCTGGCAAAGCAGCGCACTCCAAAATAAGTAAACCCGCTGTTTGCTGCCGATCTGAAGTCTGAATGTTCGCGAAGAGGCACAAAGAGGTGATGCCCAGAACATAGCGGGATACAAATGGCTGAGAAATAACTTTTAGACAAGAATGAAGCGAAAAATACCCTGCTGGTTTTCTGTGTTTAGACATTACTGTTTAACAACCAATGCCAAAAGATTGTGTTTTAAATTATCTTGTATTTTTGTATCCAAAACTCCTCTGGACATATTTTAGTCACCATACATGAACCTTACTGGGCAAAGACCTAACATTTTTGTAGTCCATTTCTATGTTAGCTTAACCTACATTTTTTTAATCATCCCTTTGTTCCAGTTTAACTTTCTGTCTAGAATGGAAAATGGTAAAAATACACAAGAAAAGCAAGATTTTTGTGACGAGGTAGAAAGTAAAGAAGGTACTCAGTTTCCTTTTGTCTATCACATGAGAGGAATCTTAAAGTTACTGTAGAAATTCTCAAGGAAAATCAAACAAACTGCCCTCTTAAAAGTCATGGTTTGATCATTTCAATTTGAAGGTCAGATATTTTGTATAACGCTGTTTACGTAGATCATCCCACATTTAGTAACGGTTCTATTTTCACACAAAGGATATTCTGTTTTCACGAATAGTTTATACTGTTCCAGTTGTTCCTTTCCTCTCGCTGCATGTTTTTCTTTTAACGTCGTTGTGTGTGTGCGTGTTTAAGCCTCTAGCACTGCCACTAAAAGTCACATGAATGCTGATGGGAGCAGTTCAGCCTCCAAAACGTAATCTAAGCAGGGACCTTCCACTGCCTGCAGCCCAGAACCACTCTGCATGTAAACGCAGTCTCTGTCTGTTACTTAATAAGGCAGGCGCTGGCTGGAGGCTTTCTAATGCCAAGACCAATTCAGAATCAATTCTAAACACAAGCATTCCTCGCCTGTGACACTTCACACTGAAGTGAGTTTTCTATATGGTCTTGTTTAGTTTCGACGAAGATAAATGGACAATATATCCATTTTGCACTGAGCTAATATGTAAATATTGTATGGAGTTTAGCAGTTTTTATTTTTCTTGATGTGAGTAAGACTATGCAGTCTTTGGCAAAGCGCCTGTGTTTAACATTCTGCACCAGTCTGTTCTGCTCTTTTGAAGCACTTGGACACCAATTGGACTGGGACCAAAGCCCCTCTGTCTCCTGCTTTTACTTGATATTCTTCAGGCTGAAAAGTCACTCCTTTGCTGTACTACTTTTAAAGTGCTTTTTGTCCCATTGCCCTTTGTGTCTGAGACAGAAAACAGTACTGTGAAAAAGAATCCTCTGTTAAATAACGGAAAACAATTTGTTTTGATTCACACAGTTTGGGTTTCTTGTCCCCGAGGTGAAAACCTCCTAAGCAGCGCAGTCACATGACCTAATAGTTGAGTGAAGTCTCACTATCGTCGGCATTGCAGTCATCATGTGGTTCAGGCCACACATTTCTGCAGCCAATACGTATTATGACTATAGCCCTGCTGCTAGCCACCAGCAATCTGTAGGACAGATGTACTGTGTCTGCACACTAATAATTAGTGAAATCCATCCTCCACTTCCTGTCCGAAGTAACACTTAAGAAAAGTCTGAGTGTGCCCACATTGTGTGACCACTTAAAGCAAGATACATGTTTGTGGAAAGGAGGAAGAAAGTCAAATATGTTGTTTTCCAGCTTGTGGATCTCCTTGAAATTATTCCAGGTCATTTTTTCTGCTTTTCGAAGTTTGTTTGCACTGAGCTATTCCTCATGGTCGCAGTCTGTCTTTACTGTCTGTGTCTGTCTCTTGGTTTCAATATGAGTCCATCTAAACTCCTTCTCCTGCCTAACCTGTGTGCTCTAAACCCCCGATTATAGATGTTGTTCACGGATATTAGGGAATAGAAATCACAGCTCTGGTTGCTTCCTGAGCCACTTTGTTCCAGATCAACTACTCAAAGCTGATTTGCTCCCCCACATAACCCACCCACCACATGATTACACACTTTTGCACACACGTACACTAAATGACTCACAGGCACACACAGCCCAGAAGCAGCGGCACAGTGGTGGCTGGTATTTCAGATGAAAGTAGGTGAGTATCTGCGTGCTCATCTCTAATCCCTGTTTATGGCTGCAGATTGAATCCTGCTGCCCTTCCCCCTCTATCTCTCACTATCTCTCTTACAGTGTGGCTCGCAATCAATCAATTTCTTTCTCTTCCCTGAGAAATACAGCCAGATGTTAAAAGTGTAGCTCATAGCGTACTAAGTGTGTAAGCTGCGGTCTACGTTTTGCTTTTGTTTAAGGATATGTTTAACCCTTTTGTGAAGGTGTTATGTTTTGTTTGGACTGTTTACTCTTTAATCCCACTGTTCCTGAATGCATCTTGTTACCATCGAAATACAAAAATGGCGGGTTATAACCTTTATATACAGTCTATGGTTATAACTCAGTTTGTTTCTTATGGTGCTTTGGCGAAACCTGCCAGTTGACAAACCAATAAACCACTCTGGAATTAAAACGTCACTCTGATTTCCTTTATTTTATACTGCCATGACACATCTTTAATCATATAACATCAAAACGTTCATACCAGAGGCCACTGGAGACAGCGGAGGTATTGTAGTAGGGCATTAAGTGTGGAGGCATATAATCAAATCTGTCAATGTGCAATTTAAGCATATTTTCCATTAATACAGTATGAAACAAACCTAACATTGCTTGTGGTTGTTGCAGTTTCCACATTAGAACCAGCCAAGCAGAGATTTGTATTTCAGCCTCAGGAGTTAACCCTTTGGGATGCATTCATCTCAACCCGGACAAGAAAACTGGTTTAAACTGCACTTTAACTCAGATAGAGACTCTGAGGTTTCTCAATTCTTAAATGTCCCCTCCTCGACTCCTATCCTCGATACTTAGTCCCGCCCACAGGAGATGCGAGCGGAGGACTGAGGAGGGGGAGAGAGGAGGGGAAGCAGCAGGCGGTTAGAGAAATGAGAACTCCTCTCCTCTGAGCGGTCATTTTAAAGAGACGTCCATTCATGATGACAGGAGGCACAGCAGCCCTCTGTCTGATGGGCAGATGTGTTCATGATGACTCATATTTACTTTTAATTCATTCACTGTGTGGTATAATGAGATAATAACAGGCTACAGATGCGGACATATACACACATATATTTATATAAAATATACAATTTCAGATTCAAACAAGTATGAGAGCACTCGCATAATAACGTAACACAATCAGAGACTGGATATATCCCCCACCCCTCTCTCTGGTCGCTGAAATGGGGAATTGAAATTACGGGCCAAAAGTTGTACATGTATTAAAAGTAAACATAGGACACCAAACCAACTGAGACCTGTCTGTCCGCCGAATCTACGCACTGTACAACACACACAGTACTACACACTGTACCACACACACCTACTGCTCCTAAAGCATAATCAGGCTACAGCCGTTGTGTATTTTATTATGTGAAGCACTAATGGCGCGTTTCCACTGCATCGGGTAGCCCCGTTTAAGCGTCCTTAACCGTCCTCAAGCGGCCAGGCCGGTTTTTGGTGGCGTTTCCATATAGCCTAGTACCGGCCAGCGGGTACTTTTTCCCTCTTTTTCCGGCCTCATAAAATCGTGGTTCCCTCAGACCAGGGCTGAACTAGTGACGTCAACACTCTCGACTGCTGATTGGTCAGAGAGAATCGTCACAAGATCGCGCGCGAGTTCATCCCTAGCGTCGCATATATATTTAGAAGCAAGCTTGCAGCATTTTTATAAACAGCATTTTGTAAACGGATGAGCTACAAAAATGGCTACGTCTAATAAGAAAAGCACACCGTGGTCGACCGAGGAGGTGACGACGTTCCTACATCTCATTGGGGATGATCAAATCCAGCGGAAGCTCGACGGAACAACTCGAAATGTGAACAAAAACAAAGCCGATCGCCTCGCCTACACTGCGTTGCTACCCCAGGTCCTAAACTGTAATGGAAATGCGCCACGGCCTGGGCCGGCCAGCGAGGCAGCCCGAGGCCAGAGCGAGGACGCTTAGGGACGCTTAAACGGGGCTACCCCGCTGCAGTGGAAACGCGCCATAAATGGTCTTAGAAAAATATCGACTCTTTGTTTGTAGATATCTACTAAACTACAGCATACAAATACAGAAAGTAATGTAGGCCTGTTATACTGAGTGATATACATTTTACACACTGCACTGCTTTCTGCACGGACCTCACAGCTGTTCTCACTGTAAACATCGCGTTGCGATGAAAGCAGTTACTAATATAATATCCAAGGGATGCATGCAGAGCTGTCATTGGCTGAGATAAGTCCGGCCGTGCGTCACGCCTCCACCGTTCCCGGAAATGCATCCGTGGAGGATGCATCAGTGTCTCCTCGGTTAGAGCTCATCCAGAGAGCCTCCTCGATGCTCGATGAGGAGGAGTCGAGGAGGGGACATTTGAGTATTGAGAAACCTCTAATGAACAGTATCCCTCTTCCTTCCATCAGTATACTGAATGACCAAACATTTCTAATCTATTGCTAGGTCATTTCCTTTCATTTGCAAAGCCAAATTAAAGCTGCATAATCAATATTTTCACATTAGCAATGGATCAAATTATTGGACCCGACTTCTCTCAGTTCTACAAAGCCTTTTAGAATCTATCAGCTAATTTAAAAAAAAAAAACGTTTTAACTGCAACTTTACTGTGCAATCTGACCATCTTGATCAAGCTTTTCTTTAGACGCAGCCATTTTTTGTTGTTGTTGAAAAAAGCCACTTAGTGCAACCTGACAGTTATCCAAAATGAAGCGTTTGTCAGCTTTAAATGTAGATCATCCATTCAATAGTTGGTGAAGAACAGACCAAAGCTAAAAAGAAAGTCAAAATTGTATTTATATTAGTCAAATGGCCAGAGACACGACTCCAAACAAATTAAAATGTTCTTATTACAATGTTCCATTTCTGCTGGAGAATTTTCAAAAACAACTTTTTATGGAGATTTATGTCGTTGTAGACTCGGCATGATATGGTTCTGCAAATGTCTTTTTTCCTCATTGTATTCATCCAGGGAAAATATCTCATAAAAAAGAAATAAAACGTGACAGCTCCCTTTCATAAGTCGTAATAAAATAATGTCAAAAGAGAAAATGCAAGAGACAGATGATTTAATTTTCAAGAATAACATTTGATGAAATATGTCAAACGAGGACATGTCAACATATCTTATAATGACGCTGCCTCTAAAACTATCCCCGTCCTGCTGTGCCTCTGAGCTCCCATGGTTTCGTATTGTATCAGTTTACAGAGCATGACATCACTAATGCAAACACTGTACTCATGTTAATCTTCTTCTTCCTGATGTGGCAGGCAGACAAACAGAGGCTTTGTGGCACACTGATAAGACGCTGCCTGTGGTTGGTTAATGTACCTGCTTTCCCAGCCAAACCCTGCCAGCTGAATGTCCATCAAGGTGGGATCAAACATGCAACACACACAGCAGGCCAGATGCCCTGTGGCAAACCTGTAGGAAGTAGTAACTGATATATTTTGTAAAATGTCCAACTTTACTAAATATAGCAGAAATACATTGGCAATTTTAACATTGTATATCTGATTATTTTGAAAAATTAAATAATTGATACATTTATTTTCAGGGATCTTATGATAGTTATATAGCTTATAAATATATATTACATATTTTCCCCTGTTGACTGTGTTCAAGCTGAAGAGGTGGTTAGCTTAGTTTAGGATAAATACTGGCATCGGGGGGGATAGCTATACTGGCGGAGGTCAATAATCTGCATATCTCCAAAGCTCATCCATTCACATGTCTTATCCTGTTTGTTTAATCCATAAACACCAAATGTTTTACAAAATGACGAACTTTTTTAAAACTATAAAGATTTTGTCAATACATTTTATTGATGTGCAACATTTTGCTTACAGTACAACAATCAACAGGTACATGATATCAGCTCATTGCAATCGTTTTTAAAGAAAGTTTTACACGGCCTGAATTATTTCACAGTATTTAATACCTTCTGTATAAAAATAGGAATAATTCAGAGGTGAGACTTATGAATAGCGTCACCTCTGAATAACAACTCAACAAGATAACAGTGACAGTCACATCTTGACCCAAATACATCTTAACACACAAAAATACAGAAAAGAACCTATATATTAACATACATTTCAAGTTCCTTGCTATTGCCAGTCTTCAATTTTTCAGACCTTTACCCTTTCATCATTTATCCCTCGGTTCTCATCATCTCTGGTAGCTGCAGGACCACGATCGAGGCGTCACCATCTCCCAGAAGCTATTCTGTTGAGACAAAGTAAAAATATCGATCTAAATATGGTAACATTATATGAAATCCTTTTATACATTTCATCTGTATGATTTAACATCCATACATCATTACTAATCTCATTTAGGTCTATTTTTAGAGAGCCGTTAACTGTGTTAAGCCATTGTGTGAGAGAATGAGGCGTGCTTGGATGCTGTAGCTGGTGTCATAGTAGAATAAGTATGTTAAGTACATCTGGGCCCATCTGTCAGGCAAATCCCTCACATCTGTGACTTCATAAAATGCTTGGGGTTGGAAGGGGGGCTTTTTAAATGATGAATTACTTGTCAGATTTTTACAAACATACTTTTTCTTAACACATGTGGCTCTCCTCCATAGGCTTATGTTTGTAAATTGGGTAAGCTGTCTCTTTGAGAACACATTTCTACAATTGATATTGGAGGAGGCGTGTGGTGTAGTGGGCTGTGCATTGGTGTTGGGATCAGGGGAGCACAGGTTCAAACCCCACTGCAGTCAGCATGTCGTTGTGTCCCTGGGCAAGACACTTTACCCCAAATTGCTCCTGTGGGGATTGTCCACAGTATTGAGTATGTAAGTCGCTTTGTCGATAAAAGCGTCTAACAAGTAATGTTATATGCGTGTCCACACTATGCACGTAGTCTGTGTAGTAACAGATGCTCAGGAATGACAAGAGATAAAAAGAGACTACAAAGCCAGGATTATAAAACAGTGAAAGCAGTTAGTCTGATTCATCTGGTTTCTGGCGTCAGTATGACGTCCAAAGTACCATGTGATGTTTTAGTCTATTTATTTGTCTTTCAAGTTTATTCACCTTCTGACCTCCTATTCATTTTTCCTTTAAAGTACGTCACACATTGGGGTCGAAGTGGTGTATTGCAAGTCACATTTCTATGTATTTAGCTTTCTTTATTTAAAGGATTTAGATGTTGTTCAATCATGATCACTGAGCTTTAACACAGTCCATTGAGAATGTTTATTTAAACCTTCAAACACCATAATCAATAACTAAGAAGAATCTCACAGTATTCTATAGTAACAAGTGTCGGCTGGTGGCTGGTGTTTTAACCTTGTGATTCTGTATATGACTCAGTCTGTGTTTCATCATAACGTAACGTGTTTTGAAATATTTTCCAAGTGTTTATATGTCTGTGTCTCCGTAAACATATTTTGAGTGATCCTTATAAGA